ACTGGCAGGGGCCACCGCGGGTGGGCGACGCTGGGGCCGGTGAGGAAGACAAGCAGTGCTGGGCTGGCCAGGCGCTGGCGGGGGAAGAGAACAGCTGCAGCGTTAATCCCAGGTCTACCTCCGCGGCTGAGTGGGCAAGGGGCACAGCGGGGCGCCGAGTGCCCGACTGCGGGTGGGTCTCAGGGAATCATGGGGAGAGGGGTTAGCTAAGGCTCCACTAATTTGGTCCTGTTTTGATTTCCCTAGGATGCTGAACCCCAACAAGCAAGCCCGCGCCTCCAGCCTGGAGGAGCCCAAGTGGGCAGCAGCGCCAAACCAGGTGAAATGGGTCTTAGCAACCCTCTTGCGTGCGCTCATTTAGTCTGTCGTCTTTTCAGGTCAAAAAATGCCAGGGTTAGTGGTCAGCAAAACAGGACATTACAAGTTGGGGATAATCACTGTGGACATTTTTGGGGAGGCTGGGGGAAGTGTAGAAGTCAATTTACCCCTATCTTTTGTGGTCACACGGACAGAAATTTAAGTTGTTATTCTCTGGAGCAAGATACCACGCTACAATTAGGTATGTTTTTGCAGTAACTCTGAGATGGTGAGTTGCATAAAAACAGTTATGCAATACTATCTTCTGAGGTGTTTGTTTCCACCTGCCTTAGAGCCTTGCAAACCAATACCCCCCATGATATTAGAAGTAGCTAGCTCTTCCACTAAGGTCAAACAAAATACAGAAAATTAAATATAACAAGTATCTTACAAAGTTTAACATAAAATGCAAAACTTAAGATTGCTGTAGCCACATTAAGTACATGGTCACTTGGACAGGTTGATTTAGTGTCATAATCAAAGTTGTATAAACATAGGTTTCCTAAACCTAAACATTAGAAAACTTCTCCAGAATTCTTGAAAAGGCAAATAAGTTTTATACTTCCTTTTGCTCTGTATTTGCAATTTGTGTTATAGTCTTTTGCTAACTAAAGATGAAATTGGGGAGTTTACTTTGTTGACCAAACTGCAACTCAAACTATATGCAGTATTTGCATTGCTACCCATTTTAATATCTAAAAGTTTGAAGTTAATACACAACAGACTGGGATGTAAGTCTGCCTTCCATTAGCATGCCATACATTAAATGTCCTGCACATTAGAAGTTCCCTAGTACACACCAACCTAATCCTGTTTCTAAGCAGTGTATAGCAAAGCATACTAGAATGCTTTTGGTGTGCATCACCATGGGTCACACAAGTAGCGTTAGTGCAAGGCAGATTAACAGCCTAGCTTGTCCTACACTAATTGTTCATCTAAACAAACTCCTAGAACCTCTGATAGTAATGAATTTCTTCCAACAACCCAGTGAGGTACAGTAGTAGTACTAAACCTGTTTGTCCCTTACAGATAAGAAAGGTAAGTGATTTGCCCTACATAATGTGGGAAGTCAGTGGGCAGTATAGGAATTGAACCCAAATCTCTAGGGATGTGTCTAGACTGGCAAGATTTTGCGCAAAAACAGCCGCTTTTGCGCAAAAACTTGCCAGCTGTCTACACTGGCTGCTTGAATTTGCTTGAATCAGTGCTTCTTGAGCAAATACTTTCATGCTCCCGTTCGGGGAAAAAGCCCTCTTGTGCAAGAATACTTGCTCAAGAGGGCCAGTGTAGTCAGGGAAGAACTGTTTTGCGCAAAAAAGCCCCGATGGCTAAAATGGCGATCAGGGCTTTCTTGCGCAAAATCATGTCTAGACTGGCCACGGATGCTTTCACAAAAGCATCCGTGCAAATCTAGACACGCTTTTGCGGAAATACTTTTAACAGAAAAACTTTTCCGTAAAGTATTTCTGCAAAATCATGCCAGTCTAGACTTCCTGATGTGAAGTAAATTAAGCTCTGGCCCTTCAACCATTACATGAGGACTACTTCAATAATATTATGTATTAGATTAATATTTTCCCTGTTAGTAGGGTAGGGCAAACTTTAAACTTTGCATAGGCCACTGAAAGCTTTAGAGTTGTTACAGGCTGGCTGATTAATAGCCAAAAACAGATTTATGCCAAATAGATGTTAATTTCCAATGTAAGAAATTATTTGTTGTCAGAGATCAGTCAGATGTAGTCCAGGTATTTGAGGGGGAAGTGAGCCATGAAGGATACTATATTAAAATCAATCACACACACTCACTCACTTGGTCTGACTTTGTTGCTTTTAAAACAATAAGTCGTATTTCCTGACTTAAAAAATAGTGTTTTGATGTGAATTTATTTGCAACACTGTATTAAAATCAATCACACACACTCACTCGGTGTGACTTTGTTGCTTTTAAAAAAATAAGTTGTATTTCCTGACTTAAATTCACATCAAAACACTTTATTTGCAACACTTTTCCGGCTTTGAGCTCTTTTCCTACTGTCTGGTACCTATACATGTTTTCCAGCAATGTCAGGCTGGTTCATTAGTTTATATTCCTCTCCCTTTTAAAAAAAGTTTACTGAAATTATGCAAATGTTACGCTTGTGATATAAAAATGAATGAGTTGTTTGTGAACTCCTAATCAAGTTACAATCTGCTGACCATCTCAAGTGCTATTCCTGATATTTTTATTTGTTTATAGGCTTCAGATTATGAAGTCCGGCAGTATGAGCCAGCTAAATGGGTTGCCACACCTATTAAATCCATGGATTATGATTCAGCTATCAGCACTGGTTTCATGAAGCTCTTTAACTATATTCAGGGCAAGAATGAGAAAGGTAAGCTGCTCTGGACTACACTTTTTGTAACGTAGGGTTTCTAGTATCAGAGGGGAAGCCGTGTTGGTCTGACTCTGCATAAAGAATGAGAAGTCTATAAGGTGCCACAGGCCTAACAAATGTATTGGAGCATAAGCTTTTGTGGGCAAAGACCCACTTCGTCAGATGCAGATGTAGGATTTCTAAACTTTTAAAAGCTGAGCCCTCTTTTAGAGAAAACAAAGCCAGTCTTGTCACCCAGGAACCCTACTACATGATGGCAAAAGCTGCACTTCTCAGTCCATACATCTTCCACATATTCACTAGTCTTTTAGGCTGCGTGCAGTACCCAACTTTGGGAATGCTAGCAGTTGTTACAGAGCTCTTTTCCTTTAGCTTTCAGCAGTGAAATAGTTAATGTAAACAAAGTATAATCTGCAGCCATTGTTTCAGGCTCTGTGCAGACTCAGCCAAAGGTTTCTGTATCAATTAAGAAACACTCCGGCTATGTCTACACTCGCGGCTTCTTGCGCAAGTACAGCCGTTCTTGCGCAAGAATCTGCAGAGCATCTACACTGCCCGCCCGCTCTTGCGCAAGGAAATTTACAGTACGGCATAGTAAGAGAGGGCTTCTTGCGCAAGAGCTACACTCTCCTTTAACAGGTGTAAGCCCTCTTGCGCAGGAGCTCTTGCGCAAGATGGCAGTGTGGATGCTCGGCAGGGATTTCTTGCGCAAGAAAGCCCTATGGCTTTGCACAAGAGAGCATCCACACTGCCATAGGAGCTCATGCGCAAAAGCACAGCGCGCATATGGCAGTGTGGACATTTTGTGCAAGATTTCTTGCACAAGCACCCTGGTGCAAGAAGCCGCAAGTGTAGACATAGCCTCCTTGTTTTGAAAAACGTAACAAGTTTAAAAAAAAATACTCTGCAGGAGTTGATCCATCTACACGTCCAGCTTCTAAACAGTCCCTCACTCCACCCCATAAATGCACTCTGTACACTTCAGAAAATACTGCATTAACACTGTCTTCCTTAGTATCTAAATTCCAGTAAACTGCAGCATTTAAATGGTCTTTATTAATTCTCTTTGTAGTGGATATAGGAAAAATAAATACATTTTAATATGGCATCTGGAATAGATCATATACTAACTATGGGGCTCCTATGTCCCATAAGCTTGGCTGCTGGCTGATTGCTCTCGGTAGCTAAGTAATTTTGTATTGTAAGCCATTGGAAAAAAAATCAGTAAGTGATAATACATTTAACACATTATACCCTACCATGGGGCTTACTCGCCTCTAGATATCTCCTTTTCGCAGTGTCTGGGGATTAGCTGTGCCCAGTCTGCCTCTAGATATCTCCTTTTCGCAGTGTCGGGGGATTAGCTGTGCCCAGTCTGATTACCCCCCCTCCCCCCAAATCTTTTGTTTGCTTGCTTATGGTGTCTCACCAGGATCAGGTTACTACTTGGAAATCTAGCCCCCTGGCTACATCACAATAGCCTTCTCCTTCCAAGGTAACAAAAGACCCACCAGACAAAGGGTCTCAGTCTTCTGATTCATTGCCTAGTCGGTGCCTTTTTCCCCCTATGGCTAGCAGAACTGGGACCTTCACACTACTCTAGGTTCCAGCCCAATGTACCCTGTGATCACTAATCAGTCTGTGCCAGCTCTTACCTTGTTGCAGTTTCCCTGGGCTCTTGTCTAATTACTTTTCAGTCTTCCATTCCCTGCAGGGTTACTGGTGGAACTTTCTCTACTCTCTGCAACTACTTAACCCCTTTTTGGGGTTTTGTCAGATCCAAGGCAAGATTCTAGGGCTTGCTAGCTACCCAGGCAGCCTCAGTGTCTCTTGCCAACACCCTTCCTCTCTGGGTAATAACTTCAGAGTTCCTTCTTATAGTTGTCTCTTACCATCAGCTTCCCCAGCTCCTCCTCCATCTGGGCTTCATCAGCAGGCCTTGACTTCTTCCAGGTGCAACCTAAAGAAGTTAATTTTCTCTCTTCAGGACTTGAGTAGATATCCCATCATATACATTAACAATTATTTTTTCCAAATGAAATATTTGCATTAGATAATAAGTTCTAGTAAATCCTAGTTAATGCCCCCATTCTGTCTTGAGGGTATCATTTGTCCTTTTTTGTTTAGTAAGATATTTCTCTGCATCTTCTACTGCATAAAATACAACATAGCAATGTGTCCTTTTAGCAGTCAGTATAGTTATGTTTACAAGCTGAATGCTTTTTCTCCCTGCTGCTATTAGGAGTATTTAGCACACATGCTTCTAAATTTACCTGCTCCCCCTTTCTTTTCCATGCTCCACCTTAGAAATCCTTGCAGATCCTACCAGACTCTGTTCCACATAACACTCCAGAGTTCCATTAGTAGAGGGGCCAAGTCAGAAGAAGATGTGGCATTCTTTAAGATCCATGGTGATTATCACCAGCTGTACCTTACTGCTAATGGCATCTCCTCCTGGTGACTGCTTTATGCTAGCTGCTGCCCTTACCTGGCTGTGTCTTGGTATCTTTTACCTTACAGCCTCTCTCACTCTGAGCTGTAGATTTCTGTTCTGGGCTTGGTCACAAAGATTGCCCCCTTTCTGAGGAATTCAAAGTTCTTCAAACCAACTCATCTCCAAGTGGCCTCTTGCCTAGAGAACTCAGGCCTGCTTTCTACACTGGGGTGCAGCACAGGGACCCTGCCACAAACAGCCACGGTCTGTATGGTCCTACTCCTTGCTGCTGTTTCCCTGGGTTTACCTGCCCAAGTGCTCGTCCTCCCAGGAAATAACTATAAACTATTCCTTGCAGCCCTTTGCTGCTCATAATTCCTGGAGTTTAGACTGGCCCTTCTTGTTCCTGCCCAGCTGACCCTGTTTCTAGTAAGTGGCCTATTCCTTCAGGTGCAGCCTGGGCAATTAATTGGGCTGTCTAGCCACTTAATCCCCTCCAGACCTTGGGTGGGGCAGGCACCCCATTACAGTGATGTTCTTCAAGACTCTTATACGCTCAATGAAGGAGAAACTTCCCACAACCAGGCTTTTATTACTGAAAATGAAATAGCTAAACTCCTCCTTCTCATGAGGCTGGCTTCAGCAATTGCTGCAGCACCCCAGCCCACTGCATATTGGTCCATCCAAGCTTTGAGAGCTGGCACATGTGACTTCAGAACTTAGAAAGTAGTTTGCAATCACTGATGTACTGAACGTTACTCTTCTCCAGTCTTATTTTGGGGGCATTAATCGGTGATCAACGGGTAGTTTATTTTTGATAGTTCCAAAATATTTTGCTCTGCAGCACAGAACCCATACAAAGATTTGCTATAGCTGATGGTGCTCACTTTCTTAGCATGACTTTTACAAAACAGCCAGAGTGTGGAGGTCATTTCCTGCCAAATTAATGAGTTCATTTTAAGTTAAACTTTGAAGCTAAAATTGTAACCCTCTTTGCCATGACTAAGAGGGTGTAAAACCCTCTAGCTGGGAGCAAGTCTCCCAGCCCAGACAGAGATGTTCATGCTAGCATGCTAAAAATAGCTGTGTGGACGTTGTGGCTCCAGTGGTTTCTTGGGCAGTCAGCTGAGCTCAAGCTTTGGGGTAGCCAAGCATGAACCTAAGCCACAAGGTGGACAGAATTATTTTTTGGGATGGTAGCTCTAGCATCTGCCTGCACTGGCAGGCTTACTTCTACTTTCAGTGTAAACACAGAAAAGCAACTAGCATGCACAACCCCCAGCACAAGTGTAAATAGTGGTGAAGATGGTGAGGCATGGCATAGGTAAGTATAGTCACACCAAAACCTTTAGGATATGTACCCTACATGGCTCTCTGTGCAGCCAAGCAGTGCTGTAGACACTTGTCTACACTGTAGACACAGCTCTTTTTAGCAGTGTAGTATCCTACTACCTTCCCACTGCCAGAGCCTTTCCCTGCTCCAATGAAAGTTTCCAGACATGGGGAAAGGGTCTGGTGGGGGAAAGCATGCGGCAGGGGAGTGGATGGGGAAAGATGCTGGGGCCTTTCACTGCTGTCTCCCACTACACATACTCTACATGCTGCTGCGAGTGTAGAGGAGGCCTAAGTTGTTGAGTCTGTGGTAGTGGAATTCACAATCCAAATGGGATGTTAATCAAAACAAAGGGATCTGCTGTATATGAGCAGAAATGTATTATGTATAAATTTGTTATGGGTGGATAAGATAATCCTAATGCAATGCAACAATATTTAAACACATGTAAACTAAAATTACCTTTCATTAAATTGAAAAGCAACCTTTGATAAGACCACCAATGTGCGCTCTCACTCTTGACACACTGCATTATCTAACCGGAGACTGAGCCATGTATTGTGGCTTATTTGCCTGATAGGGATGAAGATTGAGATGACAGCTCCAGTAACATGCCATGTGGCTCCTGGTGCAGGCCCATTCTGCGAATCCACTATTACAGTCTCTTTTTATTTACCATCTGATCATCAGGCTGATCCACCTAAACCAACAGAGTCAGATATTTTCATTGAAAACAGACCAGAAATGACTGTATTTGTCAGGTACGTATTAACTAACTACTGCAGCTCTGCAAAGTGCAGGTATAAAGTCTGCACACAAGACCACTTATGTATGATCAAAATGTTTTTAGTCCTCAAAAGAAGAGGTGGCCTGACACTTTAAAGCAGAGGTGGGAAACCCTTTTTTGGGGGATCGGAACCTACACACAATTGAGAAGCAAAAGGGAAAAAAACCACAAGTGAGAAGCAAAAGGGAAAAAAAAAACCACTGACCTGGTCCCCAAGTAAGGCGAAGAAAACCCTTGCAGATGTGGCTCCTAACTGAGAAGCAGAAAAACCCACAATCAACATCACTCCTCTCACGCTTCAGCCCCACAGGGGGATTAATGCTGAAGCTCAGGGCTTCCTACTCAGGGCTAGATTAAATCTAGGGATCCAGGGCTAGCAGATTTTGTGGGGGCCCCCGCCGAACGTGCAAATGAAGCCCGGGATTTGAATTTCCCGGGCTTTATTTGCATAAGCCTGCCGGCGCCATTTTAAATGCCATTCCACGAGGTGTACAGATAGTTCGAACTAGCAAGCCATTCCGAACTATCTAGCCCATGCCGCGTGTAGCCGCGCGGCACGGGGTTCGAACAAGCCGGCATTTAAAAATGGCGCCGGCCGGCTTATGCAAATAAAGCCCGGGAAATTCAAATCCCGGGCTTCATTTGCACGTTCGGTATGCATACATTACCCTGCTAGTTCGAACTAGCGGGGTAGTGTAGACATACCCAGGGGGATTAATGCTGAAGCTCAGGGCTTCCTACTCAGGGCTAGATTAAATCTAGGGATCCAGGGCTAGTAGATTTTGTGGGGGCCCCCTAGGGTCTGAGGTGGAGCCAAAATGAGTTCAATGTAAAGGAGTGGGTTGCCGGGCAGCGGGGTGGGAATGTGGTTCCTGGGCAGGAGGGAAGAGTGCAGGGGGAGAAGGGCGGAAAGGTGAGGGTGGGGTCCTGGGCAAGAGGAAGAATGAAGGAGAGAGAGACTGTGGGGACTAGGCAGGAGGTAGGGTGCAGGAGTGGGGGTGCAGGGTCTGTGAAGAATGAAGGAGAGAGAGACTGTGGGGACTAGGCAGGAGGTAGGGTGCAGGGTCTGGCTGGGATGGAGGGGGCAGGAGAGGGTTAGGGGTGTGGGAATCGGGCAGGAAGGAGTGTAGGTCAATGTTCCCTCTAATCTTTTCCATCCACATGTGGAATACATTTTTATGTGCACTGAGGCATATATGAATGTGCACCACCAGTAGAAATAGTTGTTCTGCTAAGCAGTCAGGCCGCATTTGAATTGGGGATGTAAGCAAGTAGTCGACTGCTCACACACACACCCCAATGCCTCTCTATCAGCACCCAGTTTCTCCCAGCACCATCTTTATGGTGCTGCCTGCCCTGTCCCCCCACTGCTGCCTCTATTAGAGGCAGCAGCATGGGGGGGCAGGGAAGGCTGCTCAGGCAGCAGCCCCTGTCCACAGGGGGTCCCAACTCCTCATTGGGACCTACCGTGGACAGCGGGGTTTGGTCCCGGACTGGCATGAGCCAGCTGCGTTCCCCTATTGACTAATTGGGTAGTCGATAAAAATTTTATCAACTACTTGATTTGTAAAATAGCTTCATTTTAACATCTCTAATTTGAATCTGTCCTGAGCAGCTGCACAAACTCATGGCTTGCAGGGAATGTTGGTGGGTGAGGGTGCAGGGTCTGGCTAGGAGATGAGTGCCAGGGGACAGAAACTTGGAGAAGGTGTGCTGCTGTTGCCAGAACCACTTCCTATCCTCTATCAGGCAGAGCCTGAGGGCCATAGGTTCCCTATCCCCACTTAAAAAATAGCAACTGAACAGGATATCCTTCAGCTAAACCGTGGCTGCCATCTTGTGGCTGTCAGTACATAAATATGGTGCAGAGACTGGCTTTTTTAATGACCAATTCACTTTATTCTAGCCCAGTAGTCCCCAAACTTTTAAAGTTTGTGCTGCTCCCAGGAGTGGGGCTGCAAACAGCACTTAGGGGGCCTGCAGAGAGAGGTAAAAGGGGTGGGCCTGGGGGCAGGAATGGAGATATGGCCAGGGGCCAAGGCTAGGGTCAAGGAAGGTGCTGGGGGTGAGGCTGGGGTCAGAGTGGAATTGAGGCCAGTAGCAGATCCCCAGCAGGGCTGTATTGGGGGCTGTGGCTAAGTGTGAAGCTGCAGCTGGCAATTGGAGTTACAGCTTGTTGGGGGAAGGGCTGGAGCAGAGATGGTGGTAGAGCAAGGGTAGGTGGAGCTCCCTCCCCACCCCCCACTTGGGGTGACTGGCCCAGGCCCTGTGGGCCCCCCCCCCCAATATTCCTCCATAACATATCCCACAGGTTGTGAACCTACTGTATTAGTCTACAATTCAATCCAAATCTCTATATCCTCATACTTTTTTCACGTGAGGACATTAAGTAGAATGTCCTGACGATATTATAGCTTATTCTACCCAGGAATGTCTAACATTTAAAAAAAATTTTTTTAGTGTATATTAATGAAAACATCAGGAAAAACACAGGGTTGGAAAAAATGCTGTATTTTTTCCTACTAGTTCAAGTACACAGCAAAACTTTAATTGATTAATTTTCTCCACCCTGAAATCTAGACTAAACCAAGTTGTTCTAATACAAAGTTAATTTCTGAGCATACAGTAACTAAACTTTCCATGTAAGCTTCAGGTAGTATCTTTACATAGTTTAAAAACTCCTGAAAAAGAAAACGTCAATGGGTACTGGGGAAAGTGTCCCACCTACCCATCTCTGTTTTTGAACATTAATTCTGGGTGTTGAAAACCATGTTCCTTGGAATTTTGCTTTTCACAGAGCCACTCTCAGGACATCAAGACAACATTCTTTACAAGTGCAAAACAAGAGATGTGGTCATACATTTTACTAGTTTTTTGCCAAGATGTCCCACTGGTAAAGTCTATTACTGTGAAAGTGTCTTAAGGGAAATTGCAGAAGTTTGTATTATTTGAAGCAAACAAAACAAGTGCTAAAAAACAGGCTAAAGGAAACAGTCCTGAAAAGGGTGGACTATATGGTCTAAGAACATAATGCTGGAGAAGCAGCATAGAGAACAAGCTTAGATTTATAATGATAACCTTTCTTCATGCTCTCCTGTTATGTTATTATTGACAGGTCCTTTGGAGGATTTTCCAATGCCACAAAGAACCAAGAAGAACTATTGACACTAGCTGAAAGTTTGAAACGGGATGGGAAAGTATTTGATGAAAAGGTCTATTATACTGCTGGCTATGACAGCCCTTTTAAATTGCTTAATAGACACAATGAGGTGTGGCTTATCAAGAGAAATGGAAACCCCAGCAATCAAGAATAGGAAACAAAATGCTTTCTTTAGAGACAAAAATTCAGTTTATTCAGACACTTTTTTTTGCCTAGGAATTGAAAGTAAGTTTTAAAATATCTAGACATATAATTATCAGATTTCAAATGTGCCTCTTCTAGAACGAGACTACAATTTTCCCCATTCTGTTATGAGAGTGGTCACACTTTCAGTTAGGGTAGAAAACCATGAAGGTTTTCCTGTTTCTCATTGTTCACACCATGTTCCCTATTTCTCTTCCCTGGAAATCCATCAATCACAGCAATTCAGCACACATGTAGAAAGGCTACTACTGCGTAACACAAGGAATTTTTCTTAGGTATTCCACACTATCTCTTGGAGAACCTATCCCTCACCACAGTACTATGCTCCACAATTAGCTTTTATTTTTTTTAAAAAAGTTTGTAACTGCAGTGGTTGTGAAGAAGACAAGAACTTAGTGCCTTTGTCTGCAACCAGCAGAAAAACAATAACCGAGAGGTTTAAACAGTCTCCTAATCGCAGAAGTTTCATGCTCTCACAGTTTTAAAAAAGGAATCACTGTTCAAGAAGTTAATGTCACTTAAAGTAAACTAACAGACATTTGTTTAACACCATGCTTGTGCAGGGTCTTTTCCAAGCAAAGTAGAAGTCTAAGTTCTACCTGGAGGAATTTACAATCTGTATTACACCTACTATGAAGAGACCATGAAATAAAAGGGGATAAGGCAGGAGACAAAACAATGGCAAGAAATTACTGCAAGTGCATTATTCTTCTGCAGAACAGGCAGAAAAGCCTACTTTGTTTTATTTCTTGTTTGCTATAAGTATTTTTAAATTTTCAGTTTAAATGTGTGTTTCCTGGCCTTTTTAACGTTGCTAAATTTGTTTTTGCCACAGACACAGTAATATCAAGCTTTTATTAAAAATTATACTTTTAAAACCTGTATCTTTCTGGATTATTTTTCCCTATCTTGGTTCTATGCTAGTTAGGGTTTCTGCTGTTGTATAAACAGCTGTAAAATCTGACTCAATAAGGGTAGTATATTAAAGAGGAAAGGAACTATTTACCAATCTTCCACTGAAATTAATAGAATTTTACCATTAGCTTAAGTGGGGATTGACCCCAAAGGGTTATTTGAAAAAAGTCATTGGAATGTTTCACATTATGAACCAAGCATCTAAGGAATTTGTGAAAAGGAAATGTAATAATGGAGTCCTATAAATTGTTTACTTTCCTTCAGAGCAATAAATTACCTGACACTTCAGCCTTTTACCATCTTTGTTCAGCATATATTATTTCAGATTAACTCAGGAGGTATGTTTACACTGCTACTAAATAGCTAGAGCTTGCACATGTCAACCGACTCAGGCTTATAGGGCTTGGGCTGTCTGTGGATGACTTGGAGTAAAGGGCTGTTTAATTGTGGTGTAGCCAAGGCCAAACATCTGCACTGCAATTAATTAGTCCTGTACCCCAAGTCAACTGTCATGTGTTTTAATTTTAATGCAGTTGCATTAGCCAAAGCACACCGGAGAAGACCTGCATGTTCACTACACAATTAAGTTATGCATGGACAGAATAGCCTATCTGAAAACAGCGTTAAAAGATTTAACCAACTGTCAAATTCAAGCCCAGAATCCAGGCTTTGTTTCCACAGCCAGTGCCTCTTGACAAGTTATAATCCTGTAGGCTACTAGCAGTGGATGTTTGATGAGTGCAATTGCCACCATTAGGATTTCCTCATGTTGGTTCTGCATGTGGTACCAGTGATGTCTGCTCAGCCCATATTTTTCAGGTGGAAAAACTGATGAAGTATGGAGGGATTACTTTTTGCCCAGTGCTGTTGTCTTGATTACATTATAGATGGCTGCCCCATATATTTTAGCAGTCCTCTATATCTGTATCTACATGGGCTGGTGGTTCAAAGAATTTGGAAACTTACAAAACTAAAACCTTGTCTAAACAGGAAAAGTTGAATAGGTTTAATATATTGATTTTGAATCAGTCATGCTAACTTGATTTAAGGCACAGTCCAACTGGTGTATGTGAATCTATATTAAGAGAGTTCACTGGTTTAATTCTAATTAATTTAGTCAAGCTGGCATAGACAAGTTGGGACTTGACAGGAAATTAATTGTTAAATTTAGATTAACTAATTGAATAGTCGATGCAATTTGCATTGACTATTTGATTAGTCGGTAAGGGCACCTCCGCCTTTGAAGTGTAGTCTCAGGGCTGTTGCTGCACTTCAAAGGCGAAAGCACTGTGGGGAGCACGGGGACTCCTCAGCTGACTACTTTGAAACGCAGCTGGGAGCTCCTAGCTTGCCCTGGACTGCATGCGGCATTTCAAAGAGGCAGCATCGCATGGAGCCCAGGGTCTGGCCCCAGGCTCCACATGGCACTGCCGCTTTGAAGCACCCCCTCGTCTCCCCCGCCACCATGTTGCCGTCTCTTTCTGATAGAGGCAGCGAGAGGCGGCGGGGGGAGGAGGAGGAGGGGCACAACTAGTCAACTAGTGTGTTGACTAGCTGATAAGTATTTGCTTATTGCATAGTCAAGTAGTCATTCACATCCCTACAGGAAGTCTTGCTTCTTATGCTATCATGTGCCGAAAGTGTCCGTCTGCTATGTACATTGGACAAACGTCTCAAACACTTCGCCAAAGGATCAATGCCCACAAAACAGATATTAGACAGGATCACAAAGAAAAAACGTTTTTTTGCCATTTCAACCAGAAAGTACATTGTCTTAACAACTTGATTACCTGCATCCTGCTTCAAAGGCCTTTTAAGACTACACTTGAAAGAGAATCCTCTGAACTGTCATTCATGCTTAAATTTGACACTTTACACCGCAGTTTGAATAAAGACTAATTATCTTACCCATTACAAAGATAGCTTCCCCAATTATCACCTCTAATATCATTAGCTCACAGACATTTACCTTCTCCCCCCCCATCCCTCTTCAGTTCTGAAATTTGATTTGTCCTTTTCATGTGTGTTCATTTGTTTAATTGTATCCTTTGGTATTTATGGTTGAGACAATATTTGACCTGAGGAAGTGGGTCTGGCCCATGAAAGCTCATCACCTAATAAACCGCCTTGTTAGTCTTTAAAGTGCTACATAGTCCTGTTTTTTGTTTGAGCTACACCAGACTAACACGGCTACATTTCTATCATGCTTCTTTCATGGAAGGGAATTAATTAGTGGTATCTATTCACTACATTAGCATGCCTGGTAGCTTGAAAGGACTTCCAATTGCTTCTTATAAAAAATGAGCAAGATGTGTCTGCCTTACAATAAACAGACATATAAGCAGTCAAGAAAGGAGCTATGTGATTTTGACGTTCCTATACATTTATTATTAAAAATGTAAACAAATATATTTGCTCACCCTTTTCTTCTTCAGAGAGGAATATAAATTGTTTTCCTCTCAAGCAGCGTGTCAGTTTTATCATCTTACAGTAGGAGTGGGCATTCACCTGCCCAGAGGCCGGATGTGGTTCACTGCGGGCAGGCCACCAGGCACTATTTACTCAAGCATCCACAGGTGGGACTGGTCACAGCTCCTGTTGGCTGTGGGTCACAGTTCTTGGCCATTGGGAGCTGCTGGAACTAGTGGCCCAGCCTGTGCTGCTTCCTGCAACTCCACTCACCAGGAATTGCAAGCAAACCGCAGCCCACAGGAGTTGTGAGCGGCCAGGCCTGCAGACACTTGGGTAAATAAAGCCTCTTGCAGCCTGCCAGGAGCTAACTGGCAAACCCTATCCAACCCATGGCCATTTATTGCCCACCACTGTCTTACAGTTCTGTGCAGAAGACTGCCACAGAGTGTATTTTTCTAAAAGCTGTCACTTACCTTCCCCTTCTCCTCTAGCAGATTGCTCTCCCTTCTATCTGCTTCCAACCCCTCAATTTGTCCTTTTGACAAGTTCCTATATCCAAAACTTCTTTTGATTCTGTCTCCTTTATTTCTGATAGCTCGCTCTTTCCACCCTCCCCTGCCTCTGTGCCTTGAGGCATGCTCTTGTTTATCTCCCAGTCTCACCTTGGGGGAGGAAGTTGGAGGAAATCTGATTCCACCTTCACTCTTCTATCTTGCCTCCATCTGAGGAAGTTGGTTTTACCCACAAAAGCTCATGATCCTGTGTATTTTTGTTAGTCTCTAAGGTGCCACAGGCCTACTCACTTTTAAAGTTACAGACTAACACTGCTACCCGGCAGACTTTTTGCCCCCATGTACTGAGTGCAGTATCTAGTCAGGCTGCTTTTACATTTTTCAACCTTCTCCTCCTCTTCTTCCCTCTAGC